TTAGTTTCTTGTGACTGCTGTAACAAATGTTTGTCACTGACATAAGAGGAATTTATTGTCTCACAGTTCTGGAGGCCAGAAGTCTGAAAGTAGGGCATTGGCAGAGCCAGTGGGGAGGACTCTTTCCTCGCCTCTCCAGCTGGTGGTGGCTCCTGGCATTCCTTAGCTTGCGGCAGCGTAACTAACCTCCGTCTTCCATCACATGACCTTTTCCCTCTGCCTGTCTGGGTCCTTTTCTGAGTCTTGCAAGGACATTTTCCCTGGGTTTAGGGTTAACCCTAATCTGGTATGATTTCATCTTGATCCTTAACTAATGATGTCTGCAGAGATCCCATTTCCAAGTAAGGGTACAGTATGAGGTTCTGGGTGGGCAAGAATTTTGCGGGTGATAGTGTTCAGCCCATCATAATAATCATGAATTAAATCTGTCAAAAGGTAAATTAGAATCATTTGGCGTGCTCTAGACTTACCGGACTCTAGGTCGTTGCCTAATAAATGTTTATCCCGTCACACTTGAGGGGTTCTCGGGATAAGGAGGAAAACCAATGTTGGAGTGCAAATATTAAAAACATTAGAAAGTAATAGATACCTCACATTTCTAAAATTAGACCAGAACTTATTCATAAAGAGATCACATTCACCTATTTTTCTTTTCTATTGACTTTTTGGTGGATCCTCATGTGAATTCTTTAATTCTGATCTTACCAAAAATTTGGAGCAGATATCTGAGGTCTTTTTCTGTACTAAAGTAGATATAGTAGAAGAATGACCCGGGGCAGATTTGAGCTTATACTTATGTCTGACTATCTGAATGTTTTTCAACACAATTATCAGAGCAGATATAGCTATTTCTACAGTTCTTAAATACTATCTTTTATTCATTAATACAGTTTGAATTGCACACTAGTGTTTTCTAACGTTGATATTTAAAAAGCATTTTGTAATTCTTTCTTGCAAGTGTGCTACACAATGTACAAAGTCATGAGTGTATTTTCTAAGGATGGATGTTGGTAATTTCAAATTGCCCCGTAGTTTGTGGGTGCAGTCTGCGTGCGTCATCGAGACCCTTATGAAGTCAAGAACGTGTGATCTGAGAGTTTCCTTTCTTACTCATTTTTATCTCTTCACTCACCTGTTGTTCTCAGTTGGTTCCATTGAATTAGAACTGATCCACATGGGTGGTCTTGAGATAACTGATAATTGTGCAGTTAACGAAACAGAACATCGTTTCCAGTTCTATTCTGGTGAATTGTAGTAGACTGTGTGCGAATGTGTGTAAGGATGGGTCATTGTCTATTCTGTATTTCTCACAGTGTCAGAATATTTCTCAGACATCAGAACTGAATACATTAATTATTGCTAGATACTGAGTTTAGGTACAGGCCTGTACCTAAAATAAATGTCCGTATTTCTATAAAACTGTCAAACTGCTTTGCTCCCTATCTGTGACTGGAAGGGGGTGGTGAGCTCTGCGTGCCTCGTGTGTATTCTGGTATCCTCTACAGTGCTGAGCATAAGACTTTTGTGACAAATGTACATTCTTTCAATACTTGATGAATGAAAATCAGAAACGTCATTTTAGACAGAGCAAGCACACACAGACATCAATGGGTAGTGATGACTTTGAAATCTCCAAGAAAAGGAGCCTCTCATTCAGTCTCCTAAATTTAAGCAGTGAGGAAAAAAGTCAGTGGTTGGCTCAGAGCCCTGTTTTAGGCATACGATTACCAGGACTTGCATCCAGCTGCAGGACAGCATTTTGGACTCCCAGAAAAAGCATCTTATTGTCTGCAAGTGGGCGATTTCTGGTCCTGGGTGCACTTTCTCTTGACGTTTTCTCGGGGGGAGAAAGACCACTGCAGAGGCCGGGCCCCCACTCCTGCTATGGGTCTTGGAGGGCAGCCCTGCTGTGCTGAGGACTTCAGCACCTTGCATCCCCCCCTCCCAGCAGTCCTCCCCGGTGCAGCCCAGGGGGTCTACTCGGGGCAGCCAGCTCTGTGAGGCCAGGTGCCAACCGGGGTCCGTCCCAGTGGCGAGACCTTTGTGTTTAGGAGCTGGGTCCTAGGTCGCCAGGGCACATCCGGAGGCTGGGGAGGCTGTGGTGTGGCACGGAGGGGCCCGAATCCAGGCGGCCTATCTCCCCGCCGGTGCCAGAGATCTTAGGGAAGACCCAGTTTGGTATGGTGGGTGTGCTGCCAGAAGCCCTGGCCAGGGAGTTAGAACAGGGGGGCAGCGACCGCTCTGATCCTCCTCTTTAGTAGCAGTGATTGCTCTAGACTTCGGGTTTGGGTCCCTGAAGGTCGGAGCCTGTGGCTAAGGGAGGTAGAGTCTGCGTTTCTGCGATGCTACATTTGCCTTGTGACAGGCCGTGGGTTGCCTCACAAGAGGTGGATCCACCGCCTGGAAGGAGGAGCTGATTCCTGCTTCACGGTGGAGTTCCTCGTGTAACAGAAACAGGGACACACCTCACTCAAACTGTGTTTTCTCTGCAGCGGGCCTGCTTGCCTGACCTGACGGCAGGATGTAGACGCCGCCGTCGGTGGCCGATCGGCACTGGAAGGGGGTCCAGAGCAGCCGCCTCTTTGCCCCACTTGGCTCCCTTTGACCCTCTTTGTCTCCGGATCCCTTGGCTGCTGGTGTCCCAGCTGCAGTGGGGTGGGGGAGCCTCCGCACTTGGTTAGCGTGGACCCTGCTGCCGCTGAGCCTGGGCTGTTCACACCTGTGCGGGCCTCGGCCCACTCTGAGCCCACTCAGGCGCGCTCTTCTTTCCGGTTTTATCATCAGTGTATTGGGAGATCACAGGCAGTAAGGACCACCGAAAGTCGAACTCTCTAGACACTGTGATGCTAAGAGACAAACAGGCTCTAACCTCACCATTTCTAATAGTATGGGAGCTTGGCTTTATTTAGTAACATGTTTCCTTCATTACAACATTTATTTGTAATTCTTTTAAACTTTCTTTTTTTAATATTTTACTTTTTTAAAAAAATTTATTTATTTATGATAGTCACACACACAGAGCGAGAGAAGAGAGGCAGAGACATAGGCAGAGGGAGAAGCAGGCTCCATGCACCGGGAGCCCGACGTGGGATTCGATCCAGGGTCTCCAGGATTGTGCCCTGGGCCAAAGGCAGGCGCCAAACCGCTGCGCCACCCAGGGATCCCCTATTTTACTTATTTATGAGAGATGGAGACGGAGACAGACAGGGAGAAACCCAAGCAGACTCCCCCTCCCGAGCAGAGAGCCTGATGCAGGCTCCATCCTGGGACTCGAGGATCATGACCTGAGCTGAAGGCAGATGCTTACCCGACTGAGCCACCCGGGGCCCCACGACATTTTATTTTTATATAGTGAGTATCCCTCACTTTTCAAAAGATCGCATTAGGCCACTTTGCTTTTATGAAAGATCTACATTGGTACCTGTTTTCGTTAACTGAAAGAAACCTGAAGAGGATTTTTTGCTTTTATGAAAAAGGCCCAGAGTGAAAGCAGCGCTCAGCACTGGTTCCCCGGGGAGCCCTGACGGAGGCAGCAAGTGCCCTGGTGGCAGTGAGTGTGGCCCTGCTCCCCTGGGAATTAGGCTCAGCCGCCAGCTGCCAATTGTGTCTGCGAGCATCTGGGCTCTGCCTCCACTGATTTTGTGCATCCCTTCGCAGGAGGTCTCCTAAGGTGTCAGAAGAGCTTAAGACAGGTTATACTTTTTGAATCTGGCAACACTCAAAACATTCTCTGCCTTCCCTTCTTTGCTTCCTGTCGCTTTGGTTTATGAGGGCCTTCCCGGGAGCACTCTACCCCCGGAGAGGGGGAGAAACCAGCGTTAGGCCAATGCCAGGGTAAGCCACGTGGTTTCATCTTGTGCGCTCGATGTGGATATCTTTGTCACTAAAATAACGTATTAATTGAATTTAACATTGTTGTGTTTGTAAATGTTCTTTGGGCCTTTGTACCAGTTTGGGATAAGGGGAAATGCTGAAGATGGGGCCTCGTAGTGACCCTGAGAGTGGGTTGGTGACTGCAGCAGTCACTGCCGAGATAGATAACATCGGCATGTGGACAAAGGGCAAATGCAAATCGAGAGAGAGAGAGAGAGAGAGAGAGAGAGAGAGAGAACCAATCACAGGAAGGAAGAAATATTTATGCAGAAATATTTAGAAATCAGAGGACTATGTTATATTGAAATAAACTTGTATCTTAACATCAAGAAAATTTAAAATAATGTGACAAATTTCCTTGTGATCCATACACAGTCACATTACTAAGCTCATATAACAGAGTTAAGCAAAAACACCTAAAGACCTGGAAAAGACCATCTAATCGCAGGTTATCTGCGATCAAATCCCTGTCCGCTCATGATCCAGCATAATTCAGGAAAGACTTATTCCCTACCACGTACAACAGCTGGAAAGGGTGATACAGATTAAGGAAATCATTGCGGACCCCAGAAGATTTACACTTTGAAGATAAAATGAGCAAACAATACCTCAAGTACTAAGCGGAGCATCATAAGCACACAAGACACGCAAATACAATCTTCCTTAACTTCCAAGTAAGATTAAGTCAGTCCCGGTTAGGGATCAAAAAGGACTTCGTGATGGGCCATAGCTCCCCTCACCACCACCACGTTCAGACACGGATAAGTAATTATTGCCGAGAAACACACGGAAACATATTTAACCTCACTAATAACCGAAGGAATATGAGTTAAATGCAGTGGGAAGAATTTGTTTTAAATTCCCAAATTTCTCTCTCCCTCTGTCAGGCTTGTGTCTCAGTAAGGCCCACCTTGGCCACCTATAGAAGATCGGAGCCCACATCACTCTCTTTTCCCTGCCTCGACTTACTTTCTTCATGATCCTAACACAGTAGGGAATTGTCCCTACACAGACCACGTATTACATCCTACACTACATGTACACTATATGTATTTTAAATATATAGTATTTTACGCGATTTATATTAAATACTAAATACATAAAATACAATTTTGTTTGTTCCACAGATAAAACATGTAAACCAGGAAATGACAAATGTTGCCCTCATCTGTGAAATGTGAGCTCGAGAAAGGGAAGGAGTCCGGTGTACTCCTGTTCACTGCCGTATCCTCAGCTCCCAGAGCAAACCTAGTAGAAGGTAGGTGCTTAATAAATTTCTGGAATGAACGAAAAAAAAAAAAAAAACAAATGGCTTAAAGCAAGTCTTCCATTTTTTTCTGTCCACACGGAGAGCCAAGAGATCATAAGATCTCCAGATTAGAAATCCAATTAGTGGGGAATGGATTCGTGCTTAGGTCTCTGGCATTTTCTAAGCCCTAATTCTCAGAACAAGAGCACGGAGGGTTTTTGGGCAGTGAGAAGTGATAAAATGATCCTTGCTTCTCTCTCAGTATTCCTCCTTAAGCACATGTCACCTCAGAAACCTTACAGTGAGGAAGCGCTGCCCGTAGAAGGGCTTCGGGCCTTCCCAGTGCCCCTAAGACCCCAGTGCAGCCGGGAAAGCCTCCACCCCTGACAACAATAGGATACCTTGCCCAACATCAAACCGGCTACGGTTAACAAGGCCCGAGCGTGAGCCCGCAGACAGCTAGTGGGAGTGAGTTTTAAATCGTTTTATGACATTTAACCAAGGTCAATATTTTTCGTTTTGGAAATTCTTTTTTGGGGAATGTGTACTTGTCAGTAGCCTGAGACGGCAGTGTGCGAAGTGGTTATAGGCATAGACTTTGTAGGTCAGAGCAGTCGAGGCCGCACCCTGCCCTCTGCATGTACCTGTTGGTGTTGGGGAAGTGATCTACCCCCTCTAGGCTGTTCCTGCCTCACGTATGGAATGGGCCTCACGAGAGTGAGGGTTCAGGGAGGTAATGCAGGTATTTAACACCGTGACTGGCACGGAGTAAGCAGTGAGTAAATGATGGCAAGTATGATTGTTAGACATGCACAGAGAGATTAATTTCAGCATTATTTGTCGTTGTGGAAAATTAGAATCAAACTGAATATCAAGAAATAGGGAACAGGGTAGATACCTTTTGTCATTCATGCTATGCACAACTATAGAGCAGTTAATAAGAATATACGTATGTTTAAAAGATTTTATTTATTTATTCATGAGAGACGCAGAGAGAGAGGCAGAGACAGAGGCAGAGGGAGAAGCAGGCTCCATGCAGGGAGCCCGATGCGGGACTCGATCCCGGGACCCCGGGTCATGACCTGAGCCAAAGGCAGACGCTCAACTGCTGAGCCACCCAGTGCCCCTAATTATTTTAAAAATCCTTTTGTATTTTCCAAATTTTAGGCGCTAGGTATATATTAATTTTGATAAAAGAAAAATATGAATAGGTCAAAGTAATAAAAAAAAAGCCTTTTTAAAGGAGGTGGTGTGGAGAGACTGATAGGAATGAACATGGAAAACCCAGAAAAGTTGGGAATCCCAGGTGTATCTGGCCAATCAGAGGAGTCTTGTGTGACTCAAGCAGCGTGTAAGTAGAGTCAAAGTGGCTTTGAGTTTCTAGATCAAGTTTATGCACAAACAGTTCAGTTGGCAAATATTTTCAAGGAGAAGAGTACATTTCTCTGAGGTTCATCCGACACAGGATAAAGAGATACGACTTTCACTTTGTCTGTCCTGGGTTTGAGGTGTCAGGATGACATAGATAACATTTATAAGGAAAGTGGAACTATGGGGACGGTAGCTTTTGCTAACGAGGAACAACCGAAGCTACTGTGATGCAGTGAGTGCAGTGCAATCTCTCCAAATGAAGGAGAAATGCAGTCTTGGTGAAAACATCAGCATTTAGGGGAACTGAAAAGGAAAATGAATCAGAGAAGGAAACTCAAAAATCTCTTTCACGGGAGCAAGAAAGATACTGTATTCCAGAAAATAAGGAAAACCTAATATGCTGTTGAGAGGCCAAGGAGGGTGAAGAGTGAGAAAAGGTAATTGGACTTGGTGCTAAGGATTTAGCCACAATTTCAGAAAATCAGTGGCAGGAGAAGCCAGGTTATGAACTGTGAAGAGTGTGTGGATGTGAATCAAGGTTAGGAGGAGACTACTTTCAAGAGGTTTGATGATTGGGAAGGTGATTTCCATGGTGAAGGGATGAGGGTGTGAGCTACAGGGAAATAAATCAGCAGTAAAGAAGCATATGAGGGAGAGAGGCAGAAAGGGATGGAACAAATCCCAGGGCATGTTCAGAGTGGGGCCAAAAGCAAATAGCGTGAGTGAACTTCAGCAACGAGGAGAGGTATTACCTCTTCTCCCTCCGATGGCAAAGCCAACAAGAGGATCGCTGATACCCAGTGGGGATTTATAGACACGGCATGAGATGGGGAAAGCCAGGGAGCTTGTTTCCTTGGGTCTCAGTTGTACTGCTCACAGAGGCAATGAGGTCACCTGCCTAGGATCAAAGATAACGGATGGGATTGGCTACCGAAGGATAGCAAAGGGCATGTGAAAATCACGTGGGAGGAGGATGGACATCATTCCACCCAGGGAGATGACACGGTGTCCAGGTAGCAGCATGCCCATGCGATCTTGGAGCACTTGGGTTTTTCCCATTGAGGTTTGTCAGTGTCTCTGGCAGTTTTTAGGGGCCTGGGACCATGATCAAGAAATGAGATTAACAGGAAGCATGGGGGCGCCTGGGGGGCTCAGTGCTTGAGCATCTGCCTTCGGCCCAGGTCATGACCCTGGGGTCCCAGGATCGAGTCCCACATTGGGCTCCCTGCATGGAACCTGCTTCCCCCCTCTGCCTGGGTCTCTGCCTCTCTCTGTGTCTCTCTCATCAATCAATAAATAAAATCTTTAAAAAAATAGGCAGCATGCATGTAGTGACCTGCAGTTTATAAAGTGCATTTACACATGTTTTCTCACATAGCATAAACTGGTAGTTAGATTTCAGTCAAGACTGGCACTGTGCAAAGTGGGAAATTTCCTATCCTGCTAGCAATTTTAAATTGTTTCCCCCAAATTCACAGAGAGGCCAATGAAATGATGCCAGAGATGAGGAGACTAGGGATCATGATGAGATTAAAGGGCATATTCTGTAGCAACAGCAGGAAGCATGGGAAGTTAAGATTTTGTGGTCACAGAGAGTTGCATTTTGTTTTACGACATATATTACAGAGAAAAATCTCCCAAACTTATAGCTGGCTAACTCAAAGGTAAAAAAAAAAAAAAAGCCTCTTTCATTGATTGCTGCAGATATTTTATCATATAATAAATTTGTATAATTAGATTTATATTTAGGCTCTGAAATATTAAAATTTAAAATAAAATGTTAAAATTTTTCTTTTATATAATAACCTAATATTTCTGGCTTCTCTTTGATCAAACAAATTAGATCTATAGCTATATCTTTATTTGACTACATCTATGTCTATAGTTATGTCTATGCCTATATCTCTATATACCTATTTTTAATTGATTGATCTTACATTAAACCTATTAACATTACATTAAACATTAACTTAGCTGATTTTTTATTGTCTATAGCATTCATATCCAGAAATAAATGTGCATTCTTTACTTCTCCAAATAAAAAAGAAAAATCCCTTAATATTTCAAATCATATGACTCATGTTTGATGTGTGTTTTCTTAAAAATCTGGATATCTTATTCTTGAAATAATTCTAATAAATGGTTTTATTTTCTTTTTAAAAATATTTTATTTATTTATTTGAGAGAGAGAGTGTGTGAAAGGGAGGGAGGAGCAGAAGAACAGAGAGAACCGGACTCCCCACTGAGCAGGGAGCCCAACATGGGGCTCAATCCCAGGACCCTGAGATCATGACCTGAGCCAAAGGCAGATGGTTAACCAGCTGAGCCACCGAGGTGCCCCTCTAATAATTTGTTTTAGTTGGTTTGGGAGGTTTTACAGATAAAATTATAATTAAAAATGATCGCTTTTCTCTCTGTATTTACAGTATTTCTGTTCATTTTCTTTTATAACCAGAACTTTCATTTGTTCATTGATTGCAAAACCAGAATTTTAAACACGTGATTAATAAATTTAAGCTTCTATTTTTATTTAAAGGAAACACCTTTAAAATGCCATTTCAATATTTAACGTAGGTATTCTCTATCATGTTACTGAACATGGGGAATGATGTATTGGAATTTATCAGATAACTTTTCTGGCATAGGCCAGTATTTTTAGGAAGCCGCTTCTAGCCAAGAAAAGCCCACAAGACCACCTGAGAGGGAAAACCTGAGTGACCTAGGCCTGCGTTTGTAGATCTGGCTCCTGACTATCAGTCTGCTGGCCCTTACTCGGTTTCCACCATCCATCTCGCCAACAGTGATTCTCATGTTCTCTTTCCTCTTGGTACCAACTTTCTTGAGCACAATCTGCTGTTGGCCCTTATCCCAGCTCTAATCAGCTGCCTTTATTCACAGACTCTGCTGCCATTGTTTCCTCTTGCCTCCCCGCACTCAGAGACAAACACAGCCCAGCGACCTCTTCTCAAGGGCTCCTGGAACCCTCATGCCAGTCTTCTGCTCTCTGGGGCTTCTTGACAGGTCCTGGGCATGTCTCAATCTGTTCCTAAATCTCTTCAGCATCTGCTAAATTTATTATATACATTTTTTCTTGTTGAACTAACATGCTACCTAAAACTGCTTCTTCCTATTGGGAAATTCTTGCATCTCTGAGATAACCACACTTAGTTATAGTGGGTTATTTTATATCGTATAATTAAATTCTGTATATTAGTCTATCATTTTAAAAATAGATTTTTCACACCTATGTTCATAAGTGAGATAGAGCGTTTTGGCATTAAACAGATTTGAGTGTGAAGGACCACATTTGTTTTGTGAAATAAATTAAGTAATTTCAGGCTATTTTTTTTTTCTAGGCTTCTAAGTGGGAATTACAAGGAAATCATCAATTTGAAAGCCTGAATGAACGATTTTTCTACAGGGCTTGTCAGGTTTAACTGACTTCCTTCCCCAACTGTGGTTGGGAGCAGTTCTTGGATGACTTTTTCACTTTGTCAGTGAAATAGTTTTTTGTAAGGTTTCCAGCTTAATTCTGGAGATTTCATATTAAATTTTGCTAGAAATTTATCATTCTCATTTTGATTTCCCAATTTATTATATTTTTATTCATATTCTTTAAATTTTAAACCACAAATTTT